TAAATAAGTAATGTCACATCTCCAGATAAGAACAATATAAATGAAAAATAATAACTGAAATATCAAATCAAAATTTATTGAAGATCAATCATAATCTGACGACTGAAAAATAGGAACGTTGTATAGTTTATATTATTGCTATATTATATATTACACTTGACTTGGCCCTGTTTAACAAGAGGAGGTTAGATAATTTTAAGCCTTCATGTTTCTACATCAGATTAAATATTCATTATGATTGTTAGATTTAAGGGATAATTCTGGGTCAGAATTTCAGGGTTTTGGAGAAAGCGGATAGGATTTTACTATGCAATAAAGCACATTCTTTGAGATATCCGTGAAGCTTTGGAATGCCAAAGGCCAATTCCAATACAGATAACACCCATTTTACATTTTTATAAGCAAGAATGTTTGGAGTCGCATCCTTTCATTGATATCCTTTAATTTGATATTATACCCAAGTTGACCGATATTTATTCAGCTATAAACGAACTAGAACAATGTGTATTAAGATACAATAAATGCCATTCAGCGCGTGACAATTATGACGAGTTAATGTCGATATGTATAGAAACACTGTCAAAACGGCTGTTCAATATGATGCTGTCGATAATGGATAATTTATTTATCAAGTAAATATCTATATGAGACAGCGAGATGGACAGGGAATATAAATATAAACATTGAAACGTCTTGATATGACTCGCATGAAGCGAATATTAAACAAAACGGTCTTATTGGGAGGGTCTTGTTACAAAATAAATACTAGCGAATATTTGCTGATCACACGGTTTGCTACATAAAGCGAATGCTCGCTAATAAGGAGATCTACTACATAAAGCGAATACTTGCTAATAAGGAGATCTATTACATATAGTGAATACTTCCTCATCAAACGGTCTGTTACATAAAGCGAATGCTCGCTAACAAGGAGATCTACTACATAAAGCGAATGCTCGCTAATAAGGAGATCTACTACATAAAGCGAATGCTCACTAATAAGGAGATCTACTACATAAAGCGAATGCTCGCTAATAAGGAGATCTACATAAAGCGAATGCTCGCTAATAAGGAGATCTACTACATAAAGCGAATACTTCCTCATCAAACGGTCTGTTACATAAAGCGAATGCTCGCTAACAAGGAGATCTACTACATAAAGCGAATACTTGCTAATAAGGAGATCCATTACATATAGTGAATACTTCCTCAACAAACGGTCTAGTACATAAAGCGAATACTTGCTAATAAGGAGATCTACTACATAAAGTAAATACTTGCTCATTAGTCAGTCTATTATTTCAAGCGAATATTTGGTAATTAGACGGTCTATTGCATAAAGTGGATATTTGCAGTTAGACGGTTCCTTACAAAAAAGTGAATACTTGGTCTTTAGCCGGCCTTTTACGTAAAGCGACTATTTACTAGTTAAGCGATCTATTACATAAAGAGAAAACTTACTAATTAAGCGGTCTCTTATATAAAGCAAATTCTTGTCAATAACTTTGCGTTTTCTTACATAAAGCAAAATTAGACAATTCTTTCACCATAAGGAATATGATGGTATGGGTCCCGTCGAGTAGGGCTGAAGGAATATGGTGGCATATGTCCCGTCGGGTAGGGCTGAAGGACTATGGTGGCATATGTCTCGTCGGGTAGGGCTGAAGGAATATGATGGTATGGATCTCTTTTCTCTTTTATTGTTCGACTAGCATCCTTACTATATTGTAGGGAACATAGGGGCGGGGGGGCTCTCTTCTTGTTTTTGAATCGCAAGGAAATTACTACATTAATATATATTAATATTATTGGAATATTTAAGTAGTTTCGCTTTAAACAGCACTGTAATTTTAAAAGTTGTAATAATTACCGCATTACATTTTCCACCTGCTGGAAAAATATTAGAGTTATCCTACACGTTCTTCATGATGCATAGAGTTACCTCCCCTTCATATTGTTGCGTTGTCACGTGAGTTTTGCGTGGCAACAACACGGATTTCAGTGGTAAAGGCAACTCAATATTGTCGTAGGCTTAAAATTGCTGAAATCACTTAGAAAATCGTCGTATTTTTATCGCTTGTCTTAAAGAAAATAGGTAAGTATATCGTTGTTCTTCATCTAAGTTGTATGTGCTGCTAAAATAATTAGCGTAATGCTAAATTGCTTCAATTGTGTAGTTGATTAAGTGACTAAAATAGTTTCAATAGCATCATACATGTATATCACTGAAAAAAATCGGTTATGTTTGGATTTGAAGCGGCTATTTGCGATAAGGCAGTTCTTTACATAAAACGGGAAAAGGTAACCGCCCGATATCGCGGTCCCCTACAGGAAATGATTACCGGCTCTATATGAGCTTCCCGCCAATAAAACGTTTTCTTGCTTGTAGAGTCATTTTAAACTTGAAGCGAATATGATTGTGAGTCAGCCGCCTGTATGGGTTGCTTAACTGTAACCCAAACTCCCTCCCCCAACACCTGTATTTTTTTACCTGGTAAATTTGCTGTTGCTTTTCACTATGTATACTTATCAAATCATTCTTGCCTGTTGTTGCTGTGTAAAGTATGTTTGTGACTTATAAACTAGTTCTTCTCTCCAATACTAGCTTTATAAACCTCTTTGGTAGAACAACATGGTGTAGTTACTCGCCCCAATACTAGTTTTATTAACCTCATTGTAAGAACAACATGGTGTAGTTCATCGCCCCAATACTAATTTTATAAACCTCCTGGGTAGAACAACATGGTGTAGTTCATCTTCTTCCCAATACTAGGTTTATAAACCTTTTTGGTAGAACAACATGGTGTAGTTCATCGCCCCAATACTAGTTTTATAAACCTCCTGGGTAGAACAACATGGTGTAGTTCATCTTCTTCCCAATACTAGGTTTATAAACCTTTTTGGTAGAACAACATGGTGTAGTTCATTGCAACAATACTAGTTTTATAAACCTCTTTGGTAGAACAACTTTGTATATTTCATCTCCCCAATACCAGTTTTATAAATATCTTACGTAGAACAACATGGTGTAGTTCATCGCAACAATACTAATTTTATAAACTTCTTACGTAGAACAACATGGTGTAGTTCATCGCCCCAATACTAGTTTTATAAACCTCTTTGGTAGAACAACTTTGTATATTTCATCTCCCCAATACCAGTTTAGTTTTATAAATATCTTACGTAGAACAACATGGTGTAGTTCATCTCCCCAATACCAGTTTTATAAATATCTTACGTAGAACAACATGGTGTAGTTCATCGCCCCAATACTAGTTTTATAAACCTCTTTGGTAGAACAACTTTGTATATTTCATCTCCCCAATACTAGTTTTATAGAACAACATTTCATAGAACAACATTGTGTAGTTCCCCAATACTAGTTTTATAAACTGGGTAGAACAACATGGTGTAGTTCATCTCCCCAATACTAGTTTTATAAATATCTTACGTAGAACAACATGGTGTAGTTCATCTCCCCAATACCAGTTTTATAAATATCTTACGTAGAACAACATGGTGTAGTTCATCTCCCCAATACCAGTTTTATAAATATCTTACGTAGAACAACATGGTGTAGTTCATCGCCCCAATACTAATTTTATAAACCTCCTGGGTAGAACAACATGGTGTAGTTCATCTTCTTCCCAATACTAGGTTTATAAACCTTTTTGGTAGAACAACATAGTGTAGTTCATCGCAACAATACTAATTTTATAAAACCTCTTGGGTAGAACAACATTGTGTAGTTCATCGCCCCAATACTAGTTTTATAAACCTCCTGGGTAGAACAACTTTGTATATTTCATCTCCCCAATACCAGTTTTATAAATATCTTACGTAGAACAACATGGTGTAGCTCATCGCCCCAATACTATTTTTATAAACCTCTTTGGTAGAACAACTTTGTATATTTCATCTCCCCAATACCAGTTTTATAAATATCTTACGTAGAATCTCCCCAATACTAGTTTTATAAATATCTTACGTAGAACAACATGGTGTAGTTCATCGCCCCAATACTAGTTTTATAAACCTCTTTGGTAGAACAACTTTGTATATTTCATCTCACCAATACTAGTTTTATAAATCTCTTACGTAGAACAACATGGTGTAGTTCCTCTTCCAAATACTAGATTTATAGACCTCTTTGGCAGAACAACATGGTGTAGTTCATCTCCCCAATACTAGATTTATAAACCTCTTACGTAGAACAACATGGTGTAGTTCCTCTCCCCAATACTAGTTTTATAAATCTCTTACGTAGAACAACATGATGTTCATCGCCCCAATACTAGTTTTATAAACCTCTTACGTAGAACAACATGGTGTAGTTCCTCTCCCCAATACTAGTTTTATAAATCTCTTACGTAGAACAACATGATGTTCCTCTCCCCAATACTAGTTTTATAAACCTCTTTGGTAGAACAACATGGTATAGTTCCTCTCCCCCAATACTAGTTTTATTAACCTGTAAGGTAGAACAACATCGTGTAGTTAGTCTCCCCAATACTAGTTTAATAAACCCCTTTTATAGAACATCATGGTGTAGTTCATCTCCCAAATACTAGTTTTATAAACCTTTTTGGTAGAACAACATCATCTAGTTCCTCTTCCAAATACTAGCTTTATAAATCTCTTTGGTAGAACAATATTGTGTATTTCTTCTTCCCCATACCAAGTTTTTTTAACGTCTTTGGTGGAAGAACATCTTGTTATTGGTCTTCCAAATAGTAGATCTAGAAACGTCTTTGGTAGAACAACATCTTGTAATTTCTCTTCCCGATACTGGAACAACATTTGTTAAGGTTTCCGTTAAATGGATACCAATTACAGGGGTTTACGCTTCGATCTGAATCATTGTGGTTTATTGATTTTATTAGAAAACTATATCCTTGCTTCCAAAAACCTTTGATGAATTGCTTTTGTTTTCATTCCTTTGTCGTTTAGAAATCTTTACATCATTTAAGACATGTCTTTATTTCATTCAAAAGTTCATCATGGACGATGAAAATAACCCGGATGAAAATCCGGACCATATGTTTGACGATCCATTCATGGGCACCAATGATGAGATGAACCGTGAATATGGTCCACAGCTTCATCTGGACCCTATGTTTGAAGAAGATCCAGCCATGGGTACCAACGATGAAGTATCCGGATTCCTGAATAATCTTGTGGACCAATCCATCACTGACCTTATAGAGGATGATACCACTCTGGGCGAATTTCAAGATGAGGAATCGCCTTTACCAGATCTCACAGTAAAGAAAAAGAAATCAAATAAGGATTTTTCCACATCAAAGTCACTTCCTTCTCTGGACTTGAAGCAGATGGATGGCATCTCTAAAGTAAGCACACCAACACAGAAGACCAGTTCCCTCCCCAGTGTGAGGAGGAAGCCGTCCCCTGTCAGGGTTGATAACTGGGATCTCAGGAAGCACACACTTATCAGGCAATACCAGAAGGCTATGATTGACTCCTACGTTAATCATGTACCAGTGATTCGCGAAGAACCAGAAACATCCTCTAGAACGCTGACAAGCGCCGATTTAGCTTCCCCAAGTCCATCACAAACTCCTGAGGCCACCAAGAACGAAGAGGCTTGTACCCAGGACAACAATGTGGATATTGATTTTGATATGGACGATGAGATCGGGGATTTTATAAGTGATTCCCTGTCAACCATTACTAGTGAATTTAATGTGGAAGCGGAGAAGAAAATTGATCTAGTTGGAACACCAGTTGCAAGTGACAAAGCAACCCAACCTACATTGAAAAGTCTGGTCGGTGATGTCAACAGTGATCACGAAGGTCACTCTTTGAAGGAAACATCTGATGTCAACAAGGCTGAGAGAGAAATTGAGAAAGAACTTCGAAAAGATGAAGATGATTCTGTAAAGGTTGCCTCAACTTTTATTTCCGGCCAGGAGGAAGATGTCACTGGACTCAAGGAAGCCTTAGGTAAGTTAGAACACATCAAATTCTGTGTATCTGTGCTCTCTCTTGAACAAAATTAATTGTTATCTTTAAATATCAAAATTAATGCTGAACTATTCGTAAGTATGTTTACAACAGTCTAGAAATTCTTTTAGAATTTCATTTAAAAAATATGTTTGTTTACAAGAAAGAACATGCATCTCGCGTAACAATTTGGGAGGACATTCCATTAATTTGACATTCTTTGCAGAAATTGAGGAGGCAACTGTGGATATTGGCTGTGAAAAGAAGACATCTTCAGGAAGTATTTTTGGCCTAGTTTTCAAAGTAAGTATGTAAAGTCATTTTGAAAAAAAACAGCCGATGCGTAATCTTTAAAACACGATGAGGCGGAATAAAAAAACAAAGCCTGCTAATTAAAAATTTAAAAGACAGTCAAGTGAATAGTGAATTCGAGCCTAAATTTTGAAGCCTTGGAGGCGACGGACAGAAAATCTAAAGTTATCATTAGAAATGTCAAAATCAAATCAAGATGGGGTCCTTCCTGAATTTGATTATGACAATATCTGGTAGGTGTTTACTTGGGATTCTGGAAATGTAACTAATAAACCTAACAGTGTTCAGGAATAGTGGAGATGAGCTCTGAGTATGTTGTTACTTCATAGTTAGATTTCTTTTCTTTCAGAGGAGAAAATCAAAAGTCTCTCTCAAACTGAAGTTTCCATGTTTCGGATTGATATGCTGTGGAACACTGAAAGGTACTATGATTTCTCTCTTTGATTTTCCTCCCTACATCATACGACTGTTTCATTATTTGACGACTCGTCATTGATGATAAAGGCCTTACTTGTTTACACCTAGGAAGCAACTGAAGAAAATTAGACATGGTCGAATATAGCACACATATTAATTGATTTATCCTCCACACTTTGTCTAAACTTTTGATCCCTAATGCTATTTCGAAAATGGAATACGAATTTATACGGAATAGATAAAGCCGAGAGATGTAAATAACACCCAGCAAGACATTTACATCACCTAATTGTCAATTGCATTTGTTTTTATTTTTAATCCATCGCTTTCACCGAAACGGAGATACTAATTTGGGTTTGTCAGTCACACTTTCGTTTCCGTAATCTAACTTCCCCAAATATTATTCGATTTAGATGAAACTTGGTCAGCAGATGCATATTAGGGCACATAAGACGGGAGTTCAGCAATCAGCATCATCTGTTAATATCTATGCATACTAATTAGTTATCCTTTCATTTCATTAGTCGGTCAGCTTTTGTGCTCTAAATTTCCTAAACATAATCTGATTTAGATAATTTTACATAGCATTATGACATGTTTACCCATAACCTCTAAAATATTTACTTACAATATGTTTGGAAAGCGGGGGATATAAATTCCATGAATTTGCTTGTTAGTTTATATGATTGATAACATGTATATTATATTTATTTTATTAACACAGGATGAATTCTGGATAGTGTCACCTTGGCTTGCCGATGTTTGCTATAATAATCTATTGTTTTCGCAGACTTTTGGTTTCCTTGTCATATGTTCGCCGTAACGGTTTTGCTGCTTGCTATTATGTCTGTCATGCTGTTTCGTTGCCACCATTTTGATGATGATACTGGAACACGACTGGCCGCAACGTTTAGTGATGTTTTTTTATTTCAGATGTTAATGAGGATAGTAACTCACAGAGTAACTTAAATACTGCTCAAGCTAAGAAACCTGGACTCGTGAAAAGATTATTCCCCTTCCTGAAGAAAAAAGGAGCTCGCGTTGCTCCTGTTATCGATCAGAACTAGATAAATAATCTATTTAATTTTATATAAGTATACGTTTGATATAGGATATTGGTAATTTTATTTATTAATTAGATAATAAGATATAGATTTTATGATAATTTATATTTTTTCCGATTTTAAAAATAAGATATTTTATAGTCTTTTTAGTCAGAAGAAAAGTTGAATATTTGTTAAAGAAAATGTGCATAGATTGATTTTGGTTTCATTTAGGTATTTTTTTCTGATTCAAAAACAACAGTAGCTTCTTATTTCATAGGCGTTTTTGTATCTATCGATGGTTATTCATGATTAATTAATTCGGAGATGGAGGGCAGCGATTGTTTTGGATTAATTTAGATTTTTATACTTTAAGTCTGCGATGGAGGGCAGCGATTGTTTTGGATTAATTTAGATTTTTATACTTTAAGTCTGTGATGGAGGGCAGCGATTGTTTTTGGATCAATTTGGATTTTTATACTATAAGTCTATGATGGAGGGCAGTGATTATATTGAATATTTATACTATAAGTCTATGATGGAGGGCAGCGATTATATTGGATTTTTATACTATAAGTCTATTTATGATGGAGGGCAGTGATTATTTTTGGATCAATTTGGATTTTTATATTATAAGTCTATGATGGAGGCATATATCTATATCTAACAACCTTCTTATACCTTTCAACACTTGACAACTATCACAGCACATTCCTTCATATCAAACCACCTTCTAGTTCCTTTAATTGAGTAGGAACTGTCGCATCACGTTACTTCATATCAAACCCACATTCTTATGAATGGAAGGTATTTTGGTAGAAAAGAAAAACAACAAAATGAGAGTGGGCCTACCCAGACCTATAAGAGGGTTTGGTACAAAGGAAATTCTACGAATGTTGGATATTGCTATGACTGGCTGAACAGGACGTTGCTATGTTGGACAGCGTCGTGATAGGCTGGAATGTGCTGCAAAACCCCGAGTCGTAAATTTATATGCTGGAGCGTGCATATGTGTGCTGAATCAGGGCACTCGACTTTAGACTAGCACTAGGATGTGCTGATACAAACCTGATATACCAGAATACTATATGTGTTACTGAACGATACGATAGGGCATGTCATAATGCTACAAATTGTGGTTCCGTCTTGCATAGTGTGTGGTGTATTGTACCGTAGCGTGGTTTGAAACACTGGAGCGTTGAACATCCACTGAATCGAAGTGTGATAATTTAAGGGCATGCTATAACGTCCTGTGGCGTGTTATAGTGCACTGGAGCGTTGAATGTTCACTAATCCGAGGAGTGGTGCTTTGAGGGCATGTATTGTATTTATATCGGATCGTAGTGTGATGCATGTGATGTGGTATAATGTCCTGTAGCGTGGTATGGTGTACTGAAGTGTTGAAAAGTACGCTGGACTGTGGTGTGATCCGTTGAGGAAATGGTAAAATTTTCAGCGACGTGGTACAATTAACTGTAGCGTGGCCTTGATAATGATGAACGTTGAATTGTACATTGAATCATGGTGTAACTCACTGCGTGTGGCATGAGGTGCTGGGCGAGGTTTGCTTATCAGGGACATTAAATCCTTCACATATTTAGGAACGTTAAATTAATCTGTGATATATTGGGGGCATGGTGCAAATCTCTACTCATGATTTGATGCTTATGATCATTGTTTTGGACACTGAATCGTAGTATGATACATTAACCGAGGTTTGCTTATCAGAGACATTAAATCCTTCACATATTTAGGAACGTTAAATTAATCTGTGATATATTTTGCTTATCATGATTTGATGCTTATGACATTGTTTCTGAATCGTAGTATGATACATTAACCACTCGGTATAATGTCCTGTATCATGGCATGGTGCACTGGAGCGTTGAATGTTCACTGATTCGAGGAGCGATGCTTTGAGGGCATGCAGTGTATTTATATCGGATCGTAGTGTGATGCATGTGATGTGGTATAATGTCCTGTAGCGTGGTATGGTGTACTGAAGTGTTGAAAAGTACGCTGGACTGTGGTGTGATCCGTTGAGGAAATGGTAAAATTTTCAGCGACGTGGTACAATTAACTGTAGCGTGGCCTTGATAATGATGAACGTTGAATTGTACATTGAATCATGGTGTAACTCACTGCGTGTGGCATGAGGTGCTGGGCGAGGTTTGCTTATCAGGGACATTAAATCCTTCACATATTTAGGAACGTTAAATTAATCTGTGATATATTGGGGGCATGGTGCAAATCTCTACTCATGATTTGATGCTTATGATCATTGTTTTGGGCACTGAATCGTAGTATGATACATTAACCACTCGGTATAATGTCCTGTATCATGGCATAGTGCACTGGAGCGTTGAATGTTCACTGATTCGAGGAGCGATGCTTTGAGGGCATGCAGTGTATTTATATCGGATCGTGGTGTGATGCATGTGATGTGGTATAATGTCCTGTAGCGTGGTATGGTGTACTGAAGTGTTGAAAAGTGCACTGGACTGTGGTGTGATCCATTGAGGAAATGGTAAAGTTTTCGGCGGCGTGGTACAATTAATTGTAGCGTGGCCTTGATAATGATGAACGTTGAATTGTACATTGAATCATGGTGTAACTCATTGCGTGTGGCATTAGGTGCTGGGCAAGGTTTGCTTATCAGGGACATTAAATCCTTTACATATTTAGGAACAATGAATTAATTTATGATATATCGGGGGCATGGTGCAAATCTCTACTCATGATTTGATGCTAATGGTCATTGTATTGGACACTGAATCGTAGTATGATACATTAACCACTCGGTATAATGTCCTGTATCATGGCATGGTGCACTGGAGTTTGATTCACTGGTATCGTATATGGCAGCTGATATGATAAGTTGAGTTTGGATAAGTACTTTGTTATCAGTGTGGTATTACCTAATTTGGTTGTATCTAGTTTTCCTGGCGCTGATGTTCAGTAGTAGGAGTTGCATGATGTAGTATAAAGTGTCCCATTAGTGCATGAAGTCTTCATTGAATTACATATCGTTGAAGCATTTTACTAGTGCCAGGTGTCTGACCATTCCATAGGTTTCTCACATTGTTACATTCCAAAGCAGTTTAGAAATAGATCATTCATCGTTCAAATAATTCCAAAGGACGTAGGTTATTCCAAAGATATTCTTTGAAATAAGTATATAAGATCGAAGATTTAAGATAGCACGTAAGATCTGTCAGCAAAGTACGATATACTATTGATTAGTTTAGGTAGGTCTAGAACTAAACAAACGTGTTCTGTCGACGACCAAGTTCCCTGCCAGTGTTCTGATGATGGCCGCTAAAAAAGTAAAGGTGAGGATCATTTATTCAACTTTAGAATTATAATTGTGTTTTCTCATTGAAATATAATTGCATAATTTAAAACAATTTTATCTATTTTTAAGTGTGGTTAAAATGTTTTTAAAAGATTCTTATACATACGGAATAATATTTTGTCGTGACATGTCACTAAAATATTAACTAATTTGATGTAAGATTTCTATAGAGTTTAATAACTTGTCGTGTGTGTCAACAGAGGATGATGAATTGATAGCATTCGTCTGTCCTTGTATTTATTACAAGGAACATGTAGCGATGTCGTTTATAATTAAATGCATTGCTTGTTTTTATTTGTGTTATATAAACACTTGTGTTTATAACTTATAATAGGACTTGTTTAACATGTTGGACATATTTCTTTTTTAAGTTCCACACTAAGAGCCTCACGCCAGAAGACAAACAAGAACCGTGGTACCATGCAATAGTCCTGTCGAAACTCCGAAACTCCAAGACATTATTTGTTTCATTAAGTGTAAGTGCAATAGGGTTATACAAAAGACACAACTTTTAGTATAAGTTTAGAATTAACTAAAATACTAAATAATTAATTAAATCACATCGTCCAGGTAAAGGCCTAAATATTGAAACCTAGGAAACGACTGAGGAAAATACACTGTATCGAACGAAATATAAAACTCAAGATTTAGGGTGTGCTAGCCCGTATTTGTTTGATTTATTACAAAGGAGATAATTACTTTGCACATGCTAAGTGAATAAAAAAGCAAACATATAATTTGATTCATGAAAGTTATACTTCTTCGTGAACAGTATAAAATTGATTAAACGTGATATTTTATTCATGAAAATCATAAAAATTGTTTTACTCGATTATATAATTCTTTCACTTATTTAAGAATGCTATATACTGTAAACATACTCAAGTTGGTCGCAAACTTTAGTGCAATATCACTTTCTGGCAAAATAGCGTAATCACCGGTAATTAACGCATTCACTGTGATTACTCTATAAATAAAGCACAGCATAATATTTCATAGCGATATGTACTAAAATCAGATAACCGGTAAATAGTGAACGTTTACAGTAATTTTGTACCTCTGTTATTTTATCCATAAAAATGATGACATTTACATGTACGTATTCCTGCAAGATTTTAACCATCAAAAAGTTTAAATTGTGGACAAATCTTATTTCATAAAAGGATTAAAGGATTAGGCTGTTCATTTTTGTGTGTATGATCGAGAGAGTAAAATTGTATTATTTCATTCATAAAAAGTGTAAAATTCTATTTAAGTTCTGCATCATTCTATACATGAACAGGATGAAAATATAAACCTGTATTTTTCAACCATGAAAGTGATACATTTCTATAGGTGTTTAACTAGTTTTATCACGAGGGGTTGTTTTATCATTAACTTGACTTTTGTCCATGTAATGGTTCAATTCTTACATTTGTTTTCAGTGAACACCTAAACAAGAACTGGAGACACACAAGGGATGAGTTCAAAGCATTAGATAATGAAGATGTAAAGATGTGTCATGCTGTCAGATTAAACACAAGAAACCAAATCAATAATGAAAGCAGTACAATGTCAAAAGGACTTGAGAAAGAGTACTTCCACAGATGAAGCATTATGACTAAAATTCAAAAGAGAGGAGGAAAGGACTGGTTGTTTCAATGAATTAAACACGAAATCTTGCAAATAC